TGGAGGGACGGCACAGGAGAGGAAGGCCCTCTATGAGGTGGATTGATTCAGTGACTGGGATAATTGGGATGGGAGTGTCAGAGACAGTGCGACTGGCACAGGACAGAGCGGAGTTTAGGGCTGTTGTACATAGGGTCGCTATGAGTCGCAGGTGACTCGACGGCACATAACAACAACAACAAGGGTACAATTACATTATCTCCTTTCATCATAAAATCTTGCTGAAGATATTGGAAAAAAAAATGCCTGGAGTAGTACATTGAAGGGAACTACCAGAAATGCAAGTTTAATTCAAGAAAAAAACCACAGAACTAAGCATATCTTTGCTGATGTCAGGGAGATCTTGGCTGAAAACAGAGAATACCAGAAACACGTTTACTTGTGTTTTATTAACTATACAAAGCCATTTGATTGTGTGGATCACAGTAAATTTGTTTTATAATACCGAGCAACATGGGAATACCAGAACTCTTAATTATGCTCAAGAAGACATTATACTTAGACCAAGAAGCAGTCCCTTCAGCAGAACAAATGGAATACTGAACCACTTAAAATTTTAAAAGTATGCATCAAGATTATATCGCCATATTCAATTTGCATTTCACCATATTCAATCTGTAAGGGAGTTCTGGTAGTATCATACGTAGGAATTGCACTGTGAACCCAAAGGCCAGGCCTCTCTGGTGATTTGAGTCCACCATGGCTGAGGTAGAAGGATAGGCAGTCTTCTCCCAGAAGATTTATAGCCTCAGAATCCCAAATGAAAATCAGCTATGATTTGGTCCGGACTCAACAGCAAAGCATTTATTTGAGTTTGTTTGTACGCTGAGTAAATTATTGAGAAGGTGAACTATATGAAGAAGAACACGACGTCAGGATTGTAAGAAGACTCATCAGCAAGCTGTGTTATGCAGATGATACTGGACTACTGAAAGCCAGTAAGTCCTGCAGAGAGGATGTAAAATGCTCCCATGAAATTGAAAGATCTCTCCTCTAGCTGCGTCCATAAGACT